CTTGCGCAGCTCTGGCAGGATTGGCGCCATCAGGGGTGAGTGCATCGCATGTGGAATGTTAAGCCTCATCAGGTGAACCAAGCACGTCTGCGCATTTCCGTGCCACGCTGTTTCAGTACGTCCTCATGAGTATCCTGGCGAATGCCTGTTGACGACCCCTGCCAAAGACGGAAATACCACAAGGCTCCCTGCACAAGAAACACTTTGCGCCAAGGAGTCTCCTAGTCAGCTTGGCCAGGAAGCATCTTGCTTTGAGCGTCCACTTTCTGACACACTCGCCTGAGGCAGCACATGTAGGTTTCTGCATCTGCACGAACCATACTCCCAGCTGCTGCTGCTGCTGCTGCTGCCATGGTACATCACCGCCTCTTTGTGACCAGAGACCACCGTTTGCAATGGACCATTCACTGCCTCATGCTGCACATACATCCACAACAACTTGCAGAAATCCACAAGAACACCTGGGCACCCCACAGCAATGACTACAGCCTCGTCAAGCACATCATGCTGCACATCGGTGACCACCTCTGCTCCACAAGTAGCGCAATGTTGCATCGGTTCGATTCGCACTGGCATGCCTTCTCGACATCTTCTACCGAGGCAAAGATTGCTGCCATTGCGCCAATTCCTGCAAAAACCAGACAGCCATGTCTATGTCAGGATAAACTGCTTGAAGTGCTAAATTAAAATGTCCTGGCTTGCACATCTCATCGATGAGTTCTGCACGTCTGGTGACCAGTCGCAATGCGACCTGCAAAGACATTGTTCCTGCCAGCACAGCAGCCGCATACTCGCCAACCTTAGTTGAAACTCCACGATCGAAAACTCGCGCGCAAAGATTGGTGTAGCTGGTTCAACCTGACTATATCTGACTCCACCCCCAGGTGTAAGAACAAGCGGGGCTTGCAGGAAACACATACTGCAGCGTAAAATACAAAGGCCCCATGTTCTGAATCTCCAAATGCATCTGGCAAATGAAGCGCGTGCTAATACGACCCAGCCACACTGTGACCGAAGACAGCAGATGGACTGAGACCTCGTGCCTTCCACATCTCGCTGAGGGCATACTCCAGCACGAAAATCGCTATCTGCGATCGGGCAGAGGACCTTACAAACAAGGCTTTGCATTTCGCCGTGAAGGTCAAACAATACTCTCCAAGCCACCCTTCGGCAGGGATGCCCAGCTCATGTGGTGCAAAGAGCCACGCTCGAAGATCCTTGGCACCATGGCAACGTTTGATGGCAAGCGACATTCCTCCGCTCCGCACCAAGCTTTAATCCAATTCCGACCTATTTTCATGCGTGCAGCTACGCGAGGTGAAGAACTCAATCTCCAAGCGTTTTTGAATCAATGCAAGGCGTCCTGGATCTGGTGTCCCTCCAGGGCCTCCAGAACTTGCTCGCAACGATCCAGCGCAGCATGGAAAGCATCCTCACAGTGGTCAACCTAATCCTACGGGAGCATTCTAGGAGAACCCAGCCCTGAAAATCTTGCATCTGAATCCAGAGCACTGTAGAACCTAGAAGCATGGACCACACTGTCAACATCGGTGCAGGCTGCGTGGTGATTTGGTTTAGAATGTTGTTTATCTCCAACTCCCTTCAGCTTCTGGCCTAAAATGCATCTTCGAAAGAAGTGTGGAAGGCGTTCAACGATGAATTGAATTCAAGCTTAGACCCTCCGCCAAACCTTGCAAACCTCAGACGGCAATCCCACGACTTTTACATCATTCCGAATCCGTCAAAGCTGTGGCTTGAAGAAGCTAAGTGCAAAATCAAAGGCCTCATGCACAAGATCGCCTGAACCATTGAGCTAGGACATGCGAACAATCCTGCTCACTCACCACGCTGCACCAAATCAACCAATGCCACCCATAAAGGTTTACACATGACAACAGCCTGAACACATACGTGCTCATTCCTGAGTCTTTGATGGTTCCGGAAGGGACAGGGTGAAGAAAACAATGTTAGCATCTGAGCATCGTCTGTCTTGTCCAGCTTTCTACCCATCTCTGGCAGCTGGGAACCTTGACCTGGCCGTGCATCGGGCCACAAAGCTCACGCAAAAAAGACTGCCCCTGAAGAAGTTGCAAGCCTGTGAAGAGGAAGGCCACGCGCTTCGGCCACGGCGGTCCAGTCCCTGTGGCATCTTCCTGTCATCTGTGATGTCATGTGTCGTAGACAAGCCTGGAGGCAAGAACCTCAGCATGCACAAGGCCTGAGATGTCCCAGTGACTTGGTCGAGGCGCGAAGTGTCCTTCACATTCGATCCATCTCGCTTCAGCTGTGACTCAAACTGAGACACAGACAATCCTCTCCACCGTTCCGAGCTGGCATCAGAAGCCTCGTGCCGCGATTTATCTTTAAAGTACCCTGTTACCAGACGCCGCGATCTGCTGATGCAAGCTTGCTGTCCAAGCGGCGCGTGAGTGTTGGTGCCCCCAAAACCGAATGAAGACACTCCCATGCCCAAAGTTGCCTGGAATTTGGTGGCCCAAGGCAACTGCCACTTTGGAATGTTGGAGCGGATTGGGTCTATACTTCAGTGGCTTGGAACACGCCTGAATTGGTCGGTCACTCCGGTCACCCTCTTTACAATCTTTTTGGCGGCTCGGCATGAACATCCTTAGACTCACGACCCGCCGGTCAAACTCTCTCAGGATCTAATGTCAAGTATATCGGATAGCTGCTATAATAATTTCGTGCGACAAGAGGAACACGACCCTCAAAACGAAATTACACCAAAATCCGTTGCACCTCACTCGACAAAGACAGTTCGTCCGTCGGCACGTTGAGACGGGAGTTCTCAAGGAAAATGTGCGGATTGAGCTCCTCGTCCACGTTTCAGAAATGCACCGGGGTTCAGTAGAAGTAGTCAGTTTGGCCGGTCCTGAAAGTGGATGTTTGGAGGAACTTCTTGGTGTCGCAGACAAGACACCACCTCATAAGACAAAAGGACGAACACAAACCCCGCATCACAATGTCGACACGAAGAGCAAGAATGCCAACGTTGAGATCAAAGCCTTTGTCAGGCCAGCCAGGCCTTCTTGGCAGCGGTTCACATAGCGATTGTGCTGCTGAACTCCAAATCACTAGGTGCAAATGCAGCAGCGATCTGCCTGCCGCCCCTTCTAGGTGGCCATGATTCGATTTTCCAGCCTGCACGCACAGAAGGAGCTGCGTTGCTCCATGCAGCTGCAGAGTTGCCAACAAGTGGCTGCCAAGAAAAGCGGCATGCTTTGCTCCAACCTCAGCCGGCACCCCTAGGTACATGTCTTCCTATGTCTATGACTGTGCTCCGTACCCGCAGGTGCAAAGCATTAAGCTGGTTAGAATTGTTTAGTCTCTTGCCAATTCCTCCAAGAGGCTCTAATACTGCCTTGATAGCGCCAACTTCGATGGGATCTCCCAATGCAGTGCCGGTTCCATGACCTGGAAGATGCGTTGCTGCTGTCGCCGTGCGTCTGGCTCACGCAAGTGTGGATCAAAGGTAACAGCAAGTGAGACACTCTGAACTCTGAACCGTGGCCACACAAACGGCAGACATAGTATCTTGCGATGAGGCTGCGTGACCACTTGCAACATTGTAACCGCAGAGCTGCAAAGCTGGAACCTAGAATGCAAGACCCCAAGAGTGACAAAAATCGGGTCATGCAAGGCACATTCGATAGCACCTAGCGCCAGTGCAGAAATCTGCCCTTCGCGCAAGACCTCGCGCAGCAGATCCTCCTGACGTGGGCCTGAGCATATTCTGTCACGTCATGTTCGATGCAGCAAAGATAGTTGATGCCCAGTATCTTTTCAGAGTCCGACAGTTAGATGCACGTTCACACCTGCACGCTTTGTTTGCACAGCCTGGTGAATGACTCGAAAACTGAACACTCAGCCTAAGCAGTAAGAGGATTGTGCGCTGCTTGGACTTCTTCTGTTCATAACGCTTGGCATCACAGCTTAAATATGTTGAGCTTCGTGAGATTTCGAAACTAGTGCTATGACATTTCAACAAGCATATTCCATGCAAGGAGCCATTCGGAGCAGTCAGAGTCGCGCTTTTTCCATCCTGGTTCATGACCTTAGAATCGGTCCGTCTTGCTCTGTGCAGCAGTCGTCGTCTGTCTGCAACCAAGCAACCACCGCACGCACCTGTTTCGAATTGACTCATGCACTTCAACTCACATGCAAGCGCGGGCTTCACAAACTTCGCAGTCTTTCCGAAGATGCTCTATCATAACCGAATCGGCTCTTCTGGATCCCTGAAACACAACCTGCAACAACAGTCACACATGTCTTCAGTGAGCTAAAAAACCCCGAACCATTTTGGGCTTACGGTTTAAGAGGCTCCTGCAAACTTAGAGCCAGCCAGTCCGAACTTCAAGACAACCTCTCGGGGTGGGGGTTTAGGATTGATTTCGGGTGGCCCCAGAAGAATTTTTCAGGAACTGAACCACACGCTTCAGCCCCAAGTAATGTATAGTCGAAAGTACACCCACATGCCGCAGCTGTGCTCCAAATTCGTATGGATCAAGGGTGGGCTACATTCGAAGCGTCAGGGATGCCTCGGCTGCCATCTGGCATCGTCCGTTTTCTGCATCAACCAAAGACTTTAGTAGCATGGCACCAGCGCCCTCGCCGCGTATGTACCCTGCATCAAGCAGCAGTGCAAAAGATGAGCACACAGCACAGCTTGACATGAGTGTAAAGGCATTCCCTTCGTCATGCCGTCAAAGCACCATCGGCAGTTGCATTAAATGTCTTACAGCGCCCATCGCGTGAAAGCATGTTGGCAGCGGAACGCAGCACAAAGCTGTTGGGCCCATGTAGCACCTGAGCTGCTTCACCGTCAAAGCCCTGTACATGCCATGACGGAAACGCCAAAACTGGAATGCCAAGCAAGAACTGCATCTGCCTCAGCGGAAGCCAGCAGTGCTCCGCCGCCGCGAACGTCAGATCGTTGGCCCTGGAACCCCGCACTTCGAAGTCGTTGCGTTGTGTTTAATCACCTACAATCTGCCAGAAGCTTTGCTCGTGAAAATCTCGCATCCGGTTCAGCGGCTGCGAACACTCCGTGCAGTGTATCGAGGCCACCATTACCTTTAGGCCGCCATTTTGTGGAACTTTATGTCTCGTTTAGCAACGACACGGTTTTGCTTTCCGGCCATGTCCCCTTCATACAACTCAAGTCCAAAACAGCTGTCCGCCCTTCCTCCAGGGACCGCAACGCAGCATGGAGTGCTGAGATCGAAGATGAGCAAGCGGTGTCAATCTCAGCAGAGCATGCGGAATTCATGACAAGACCTACATGCATGGCTTCCTCCACACTTGTGAGACGAGGGCTGTCATACTCGGCCCTGTGAGGCCGAAGACGTAGCCTTGAAATGCAGAGCAAGTACGGCAAGCATCTCATCCAGCGATACTGTTTTGTTCTTTCTGCTGCCGGAACGCTGATTCGGTTGGCGGCCATGCCGCATGAAACTCCCGGGCCAGTGTAGACTCCAGCTTGCGGAAGGGCCAGCTGGTACCAGTCCAGGTTGCTCAAGGCTGCGAAGACACCCTTAGCACAAGCCGTTGCGTCTCACTTGTTGCCAGAAAGTTAAGCACGAGAACTGAAGCAGTCTTCCCGAACTGCTTCCTTCCATTGCTGCACCCCTGCTGACTAGTGCGACTCTGTCACTTGTTCTCTGATCCCCGAGCTAGCCAACAAACTACTGCTTTCTTGGTACGCATCCTTCTGGCCAAGGTGCCATGGCAGCGTTTTGCAGGAGTCCCTTGTCATATCCTGGGCTGTCAAATCGCATCATACGTGTGGGAAGCAACATCAGCATCATTCCAATCAGAATCTGTACAGTAGCTGTCGCTTCTGATTCGCATCACCGAAGCTGGCAGAACACAATTCTGCAAGAAGGCCATCGGCGTGAAGCGCGTCGTAAGCAGCATTGAGAAGAAGTCTCTGTTGCGGATCTGTTGTCTTGGCCTTAAGGCGTGCTTCGGATGCTCTTACATCCACAAACGTCATGTTGCCGGCCTCGGCCGTGCCAAGTCCAAAGTAAGTCAGGTCGAAAAGCTCCGCACCCTTGTCATGACCGGTCAATTTCGAAAGAATTACTCGAAATCACGAGCTGTTGCACCGAATTCAGACCGTGCGATGTCTTGACTGGGCCTCGATGAAGCCGCCATGACGTGCATATGTCTTTCCTTGCTGGTTCTCTTCGCTGAAGTACGGCTGATGGTCCCAGCCTACCAGACAGACAGCGCACTCCAGAAACAGATGCATGGCAATCTCAAAACAAGCTGTGTGTCAGGCGGGAGAAAGGAACTTCGATCACTGAATCGTGTTTGCTTGCCAGTGCTTCTCGAAGCTGCGACACACCTTCGCAACAACGCGCATGTGCTGTCGCACGTTTAACGAATTGCATACCCCATTGGAAAGACTCCTCCCCGGCCAAGCCGCTGCCAGAACCACCAGGAAACTCACAAGATGTGGAGACAATGACCTCGGCGAAAACGCCCTCTATCAAAGCCATGCTGGTAACGGCAAGATGCGCAATCATTCCTGAGTTTGCGAAAACGTTGTTGATCTTGGTGCAATCAGAGAGCATGTGCGACTCTCCGAGACAGGTCTAGTTCGTCGGGCACCTGCCCTTCATCAGCATCAATGGTGGCAGGACCGGCAGGAGATGCAGTGCGTGGCAGCAATACGTTATCCACAATGTCCTTGGAAGCAAAGCAAGCACTCAAATTCACTGTTAGTCTGCAGCACGAAACTCTTCAAGAGATGAACACAAAGCACGCCATGAGACTCTATGCGGTGCCTAGCTTAGGACCTTGCAAAAAAACAGTCAACCGAAAAGGCAGCACTACAACGCTATGAAGGCACACCTGAAGCTACATGAAACGTACTTTACTAGTGTCCCATTTCCTTTGAAAGCTCTGTGTCAGGCAATGGACGGCCGTGACATCCAGCAGCCTTTATAGCATGACATCAGAAGGTTGTTCAAAAGGTCCGTGTCTTCGGCTTATACAAACCCGGCCGTGACAACACTTTTCCGCCAAAGCTGATTAGAACACCAATGATTCAATTAGATCCAGCAGCTGCCTGCCGGCCTTGAGATTGCGACGTCCGTGCTTGTGTGAGCCTTGATCCTGCTTGAACCCTGAAACCTGATGAGGCCAGAGTTCCTTCGTGTCTGGTTGCACCAGGAGCCTACTCCTGGAGAGCTGTGATCTCTTAACCCGACTATCGCGTAGCCGTAGTCCTTGCAGAGTCTAATGTTGACGTGCAGAGTTGTGGATTTAAGCAGAGTGCACGAAAGACTCCACGACCGCTCAAGCGTGCGTAGAAGTTGAGAGGCGACGAAAGCTGGCAAGAATGAGCATCTATTGCGTAAGTCCAGCTTCGACGATCCTGATGTTTCAAAGAAGACCCACGACCTAGTCGTACAGATGCGCTGTAAGCCACGTGCCTCGACCGCTAACGCAGGATATGGCAAAACTTTCTTTTGCATTTTAGACGAGAACATTGTACCAAGAGCATGTGCAAATGTCCGCAACTCTAAGGTGTACACACTCTCAAACCTCGCAAAAGCTCCGCTTGAGTAGGCGAGTAGGCGAGCACTATCCTTTCGTTTCCCTTTTCAAGGGAATTTTGATCAATGGCATCCCCAAAGAAATGTGCCGTAATGTTCTAAATACACTGGGCAGACCCTTCTAAATCCTACAGATCATCACGAATTGTGTCATTGGCACATCTCTGTGACGGAGGTGTTTGATTCAGTTTAAGCTCCCTCGTTCTACCCTCTGTTTCACGATTTCGTTGCTGGTGTGGAACGTCACATGGTCCTTTGCATCTTTCCTTCTACCTTCAGAGTCCCTGTGCACACTCCCTGAACTAGCTCCAAGACCAAGTGCCAACGTGCTCCCCATGCACTCGCCGAGATGCAACAAATAACCGTTCTTCATGCATGTCAGAACCCGCAGATCGTCAATCACTAAGGTATCTCAGCACTGCACGTCGATCGTAAGGTGGTCGAACAGCAAGGTAGGTGGCAAGTTGAGGATTAACCGCCTGCTTGAGGTGCATGATACACGCAAACAAACGGACGCCAACAAATGGTCTTGCACTGTGCGACTCGAGAATGCTTGAGTGCAGCTTTCAAACATGCAGCCTGCTCAGATCCTGGGCAAAGCGCACCGCACCCGCTGAATCCACACCCAAATCAAGTAGACGGCTTCGAGTCTTTAAACTTTCTTGGGGCACCTTGGATGACAAACCGCGACTTGCAAACATGAGCACACACATTCATGGTTTCATCATCCAACTGCCAAGCTATGGACCTGGAAAATGTCTGCGAAAATGTCCTGCAAGAAAATGAATGCAAGAATACCAAACATCTGCAGGAACATGAATGCAAGAGCCATCCTTCAACAAATCCACAAGAAGTCGCCGGGAAGTGACACCTTCATTCGTGCCTGCGGTCGACCTGCACAGCCAACAAGACTCAAAGGCGCTCTGCTTCTTGAACATGGCAACATGGCCTCGGCGACATCCCGCTCTGACAGAGAGCTGGCGCCCAGAAGTAAATGCTTGAAATGTTCATGTTGTTCGTAACCTTGCGTCATGGAAAACATGTCTGCACATTGTACCTTGGGCTCCACCCAGTCTTCAAAATGGCTGCGTGCGTGGGCCGTTCTTGTGCACACACAAGAAAAGCAGCCCTACATCACTCAGCAGCCCTACATCACTCACCAACGATACCAGTGCGAGCTTGTCCAGAAAAGGATTGCATTAAAAGGCTTGACGATAGCATGCTGTGCAAAACATGCACGTGATTTACGACGACACCTGCCACACTCTCTGTGCCTTAGCGCTTTGCATCAAAACCTCGATGGCATCGACAACTCCAGCGAGCTTGATCCGGCACTTGTTGACCGTCAGCAACTGATAAAAACTGTGTTGGGGCTCGCCGCTCGCCCTTCCTAAAGAATCAACTTTCCATGTTTTCCTCATGGTTCCTCGTACAACACATTTTCGCACGCATGCCCACAGAGAAAACCGTGCGCTTCCCTCCCCGCTTCCACCGCCGACTCACAAAAAACAAAAGCACACCAAGCCAAGCAACGAATGTTACAAATGATAACGCTAATGACAACCACACCCAGAATGACAGAAGACGCCGACAACAATGGTCCCCGGTTCGAGCGATGCGGGAATGCCGCAATTGTTTCGTCTGTTACGCGAAGCAACAGGTTCTGCACTGATGACGTTGGTTTAAGCACCTGTAGTTTGCAAGCTTCAATGTTTGTCTTACGTGACTCCAGCAGCAGATTTGAACAACTTGTAGAGTTGGAGTTTTGAAGGGTTACAAACCCTGAAAGCCAAGAAAAACTAGAATTTTATTTTACACACGTTCCAAAACTCTGAAAATTATGTGCAACAAAAACAAGAACAAAAAAAATGGCGTACTGGAAGGCCCCTTCCGCGGCAACGAGCTGTTTTCAACCCCCCAAAAACCCGGCCTGCATTTGGGTGGTTACTCTGGAGGCCCCTACACAACAG